TGGGTTCTCTCTTGTGAGTTAAACATCTACTCTATGGATCCTATGACACTTCAATTATACTCCTAGACATTTATTGAAATAAATGAAAACATGCACAAAATATCTTGAAAATCCAAATGTCCAGCAAGTAATATAAACACATTGTATACATTCTCTAATAGAACACACTCAGCAATAGGTAGTAACTACTGATGCATGCAACAATATGAATGAATTATCAAAGACACTGAAGCACAGAAAGAAAAAAACACAAAAGAATAAATAGCTTGGGACTTTATTTATACGAAGTTGAAAAAAAATCAAAATCAATCTAGGGTGATACAAATCAAAGCATTTTAGATAAAGACTGAGTAGGAAGAAACAAAGGGGAACTTCTCAAGATGATTTTGCATCTTATTTTGGGTGAAAATAATATAAATGTGTACCATTAACAATATTTATTCAACTGAACATTCAAGATCTGTATATTTTGCTATATATAAATATCCTTCAAGTTATAAGAGTATAATAAATTAAAAACACAGAATTACAACAACAGGAAAAGAAGTGATTGTGACCAGGAAAAAGCAGATGCAGGGAGAGAATGGATTCACAGATATCAATAAGCTTTGCAGGAAATGATGACCTAGACCAGATTGGTAGTATTGGAATGTGGTAAAGGGCAGATTCTATATATATACATATGAGACAGGCTTGATTAGATGTAGTAAAGTTTCTAGCATGCAAAACTACAACACATAGAAATGAGCACTTAAGAAAGTTTTCATTTAATTTTGTTTTAGAGGATAGGGCAGTCAGAAGACACATTAAAAATGGAGTTTTGCAACATGGTACTGGTACAGAAACAGATGGATAGACCAATGGAACAGAATTGAAACACCAGAAATCAATCCAAACATCTACAGCCAACTTATATTTGATCAAGAAGATAAAACCAATTCCCGGAGCAAGGACAGTTTATTCAATAAATGGTGCTGGGAAAACTGGATTTCCACATGCAAAAGCATGAAGCAAGACCCCTACCTTACACCTTACACAAAAATCCACTCAACATGGATTAAAGATCTACATCTACAACCCAACACCATCAAATTATCAGAGAACATCGGAGAAACCCTACAAGATATAGGCACAGGCAAAGACTTCTTGGAAAAGACCCCAGAGGCACAGGAAGTCAAAGCCAAAATTAACAGTTAGGATTACATCAAATTGAGAAGTTTCTGTACTGCAAAAGAAACAGTCAGGAAAGTGAAGAGGCAACCAACAGAATGGGAAAAAACATTTGCAAACTATGCAACAGATAAAGGGCTGATAACCACAATCTACAAAGAGATCAAGAAACTCCACAACAACAAAACAAACAACCCACTTAAGAGATGGGGCAAGTAATCCATAAACTGTACTTTGGAAATTTATATTTACTAAATAAAATATAAATAAATAAATAAATAAAAGAAATCTAAAAAAAAAAAAAAAAGAGAGAGAGAGATGGGCCAAGGGCCTCAATAGACATTTTTCAAAAGAGGAAATTCAAATGGCCAACAGACACATGAAAAAATGTTCAGGATCACTAGTCATCAGGGAAATGTAAATCAAAACCACAATGAGGTTTCACCTCACTCTGGTTAGAATGGCTCACATTCAGAAATGTACCAATGACAGATGCTGGCGAGGATGTGGAGAAAAAGGCTCATTAATCCACTGTTGGTGGGAATGCAAACTGCTAAAGCCACTATGGAAGACATTTTGGAAATTCCTCAGAAACCTGAATATAGCCCTATCACATGACCCAGCCATCCCGCTCCTTAGAATTTACCCAAAGGAAATTAAATTGACAAACAAAAAAGCTGTCTGTACCTTAATGTTTATTGCAGCTCAATTCACAATAGCTAAGACCTGGAATCCACTTAAATGCCCATCAACAGCAGACTGGATAAAGAAATTATGGGATATGTACTCTATAGAATACTATACAGCAGTCAAAAACAATGAAACCTGGTCAATTGCAACAAAATGGAGGCATCTGGAAAATATCATGCTGAGTGAACTAACCAGTCCCAAAGGGACAAATATCATATGTTCTCCTTGATTGGTGACAACTAACTGAGTACCTAAAAGGAAACCTGTAAAAGTAAAATGGACACATTGAGAAACAATGGCTTGGTAAGCCCTTATCCTGACTGTCCAGAGACAATTTACTGTTTTATTCCCTTTACTATTTTTTTGTTCTATTTAATACCATTGGTTGAACTCTTTAATTAATACACAATTATTCTTAGTGTTTAAATTTAACTGAAAAGTGATCCCTGTTAAATATGAGTGGGAATAAGAGAGGGAGGAGACGTACAGTTCTGCACATGCTCACTCGGACTTAACCCTAATGGTAGAATTGGAAACGGGCCAGGGGATTCCAATTCAATCCCATCAAGGTGGCTTGTACCAATGCCATCTCACTAGTCAAAGCAATCTGTTTCAGTTCATACTGGATCATAATGATAGGATTAAGTGTCAAAGGGATCACATAAACAAAATGATAGAATTAAAAAGGAAAGAATGATCCTACATGGGAAGCAGGATATACAGCAGACTCATAGAATTGCAAATACCCTAAACAGTACTCTGGCCTCAGAATCAGCCCTTAAGGCATTCAGATCTGGCTAAAAAGCCCATGAGAGTATTTTAGGCATGGAAAGCCAAGGCACTCTGGCAAAAACAAACAAACAAACAAACAAACAAAAAAACACAACACCACCACCACCACCACCACCACCAAAACACCAAACCAAACCTAAATGAAAGATCTCTGTGAGTGAGATCCCAGTGGAAACAGGAGGCCATCAAAGAAGGAGGTACCTTTCTCTGAAGGGAGGAGAGAACTTCTACTTTGATTTGGCCTTGTCTAAATAGGATCGGAGTTGGTGAACTTAAGAGGCTTCCATAGCCTTGGCAGCTTATGACAAGAGCCTCGGGTGATTACTGATGTCATAAATAAGAGTGTCAGTAGTCACTGTGCACTTACTCCCCATGTAGGATCTCTGTGCTTAATGTGTTGTACTATGCAAATTAACGGTAAAACTACTACTCAAACAGTACTTTACACTGTGTTTCTGTGTGGCTGCAAGCTGCTGAAATCTTTACTTAGTATATAATAAGTCGATCTTCTGTATATAAAGATAATTTAAAGTGACTCTTGATGAAGAATGGGATGGGAAAGGGAGTGGGAGATGGGATGGTTGCAGGTAGGAGGGAGGTTATGGGCAGGGGGAGCTGCTATCATCCAAAAGTTGTACTTTGGAAATTTATATTTATTAAATAAAAGTTGAGAAAAAAAGAATGGAGTTTTGAACATGAAAACTATTAAGTCCTAATGACACATCCAAAGCAGGAGATGTCAAATGGGTAGTAAATACATAATATGTTTTTATTAACCACTAGACATCAAAAATGATGAGAGAAGTTTAGACAAAATATTCTTAAAATGTATTTTAGAAAATTTACTCACTTAATCATCAAAATTTTCATCACAATTTTTAAGAAGTCTCAGGTGAGAGACTATTTTAATCCCTCCCTTGTGTATATCAGTGGATATATTTCCCTCCCTCAGATTGTGGTATTATACAAAACAATATAAAATGCAGAAAAGATATGAGACACTTAAGCTATTTTCAAATTAGCCAAGATGAAAGACAACATACAACTGAGAAAGATCATATAATATTTTTGTCGGTTTTGGAAGATAAAAAGTTCAACTCCTATGTATATATACATATGTACACAAAGATATCCACTGAATTCTCTATTAGTAACACCAAACTTGTCTGCAGAAATCACGGTGACCTTCTCCAACATCCTTTGAGTGGAAAGCTCACTATATATATTAATAAGCTAGATATATCAAGAGCAACAGTCTAAAACAAGTTCTACCACTAAGCAGTGGCTCAGGACCTATGGCTCTTCAATAAATTAGGGCTAGCATGTAATCTCCTTGACTTTTAATGATTCTACAATGGAATAAAATGACATATGTGTTACAACTCGCTGAAGTGTTGGGACACAAATGGTTAACTGCACACCTGGTAAAGCTGGGCACAAGCAAAATGACCCCGATGGTAACACTGTGGCATTTCACTGCCTAAGATTCTGCTGGCTTGACTCTGACTTTTACAGTTCCTTGCCAGGGATATCCTTGCCTAATAAGACCATACGTATACATTGTTGGTCCCAATAAACACCTACCAAGCATCTTTTCTGGGCATTCAGACCCACTTTATCACAGTGGACATGGATCTCTCAGCATGTCTCCATGGCCCTCCCCCAGCAAACATCACTAATACATTGTTGCCCACTGTGCGGGGACTGAACACTCACTTCAGCCTCCCCTCCTGCTCTCCAGGCAGGCTACAATCCCACCTCAAACTCCACTATGCTGTCCTTTCCACAATAACAGTCTTTTCTGCTTTTATCGGCTGCTTCCTTGCCTTCTGCAAACCCTAAAACCTTAAAACCTTATAATGCATAAAAATACTTCTAATAAAGGCAGAAAGGTCAAATAAATGTAGATATATATTTATCATGTGCATATGTACATACTTGGCTTTTAGCTACTTATTCTGAATCAGGAACTTGAACTTAATAACTTAAAGTCCTATCCTTATGAATCAAAGACCAACTTCATTTCATTTATCAATTCTTTTGCCAAACATAACAAAGAAACAGGGAATGATAGATCCGGTAAGGAAAAGGAGTACAGTTAATGGGACAGACAACTGACTTAAAAAGGGTTTCACTATTAGTTAGAAAGATACAACACAAAGCAGTATTTCCATCTCTTAAGAAAAGCCTTGGACTTTTGCAGATAGCCCAGGTTTCTCAAAAGTTAACACAAAACTAATCACTTTGCTATAAATGTGTAACTTGGTATGACACCAGGAACTAGGAAAATGGCAATTATATGTTGAAGAAATATTATAAATCTAATGCAACTTTATAAAAATGCCTACCTTTTCCTCCAGTTTTTTCTTCTCTTCATTAAATTGGCTTATTCTTTGTTTGAGAAACTCATTGAGCTGTAAAATCTCTTTCTCAGTAGATGCAAGCTTTTGCTCAAGTTCATCTTGCTGGGAATGGGACACTGACTGCTCTGAAAATGGAGTCTGGAGTGCAGCATTCTCATATTGTGGCTATTAGGAAAGAAAAAAAGCAAGCAAGACTTTAAAGTGTAAAGACCCTGGTTTCAATCCAAGCTCTCCTGCTTGCCAATTATGCAGTTATTAGATATGTTTATGTGTAAGTGAAATGTACATCAACAGTGATATAACGGTACATGGGACATGAAGGAAGGTTTAGGAAAATGGTTATTTTAGGGTACATGGCACTATCTATGAAGCACTAAAGGGTTGACAATGGGCTTGAATTAATTCTAAAAGTATATGAAAATCCTAGGACAATCAGCAAAAAAAATTAAAGGGAGGTATAATGGATAAAATAAAAAGCAAAAGAAAACTGATTCATATAAAATGCTCAAATGGTAAGAGAGAAAAAAAGGAATAAAGAACAACAAATAGAAACCTTTAACAAATATGGTTGATATTAGTGGAAGTACATCCAAAGTCACTCTGAATATCAGTGGTTTAAATGCATCAGTCAAAAAACAGAAATAGTGAGAGTGGATTAAAACACAAGATCCACCTATTTGTAGTGTACAAGAAACCCATTTTAGATTCACTAAATATAAAGGCACATATGGATGCAAACTAAAGAGATGGAGAAGACATACCATACTAATATCCCTTGATAGCAAGAACAGCTACATTAATTTCAGAAACAGCATCCTTTACAGCAAGGAAAGTTATCAATATTACATAATAACAAAGGGGTCAATATTCTAACAAGACATAACAATCTTTAAAGCATATGTATTAAATAACAGTGTCAATATACGTATTTTAAGCTATATCTTTTTATTTTATTTATTTGAAAGGCAGAGTTACAGAGAGGTAGAGGAAGAGAGAGAGTGAGAGAGAGAGAAAGAGAGAGAGAGAAAGAGAAAAAGTCTTCCCTTTGCTGGTTCACTCTCCAAATGGCCACAATGGCCAGAGCTGAGCCAATCCAAAGCCAGGAGCCAGGAGCCTCTTCTGGGTCTCCCACAGGGATGCAGGGACCCAAGGACTTGGGACACCTTCTGCTGCTTTCCAGGCCACAACAGAGGGCTGGATTGAAGTGGAGCAGCTGGGACTCGAACCAGCGCCCATATGGGATGCCGGCACTACAGGCAGTGGCTTTACTCGCTCACTACGCCACAGTGCTGGGCCCCAAAATACAAATTTAAAAACAACAACAACAACTGCAAGGACAAATAAATAATCCACTACAGTAGTTAGAGATCTTAACAATTCTCTATTAGAAATGGTCAGATCCACAGGTAGAGAATCAGTAAGGACTCAGTGGATCTCCATAGCCCAGCAACAAAGGACACACAGCTGACATCTACCTACTACTCATCTCAACAGCATTACACATTCTTCTCAAGCTCATCTGGAACATTCACCAAGACGAACATCACTCAGAACCATAAAACACACCTTAACAATTTTACAAGATAAGAAACTATCCAATGACTGGCTCTTAGGCCAAAGTGGAAATAAACTAAAAATAGGGGCCCACGCCACGGCACAGTGGGTAAAGCTGCCTCCTACAGTGCCAGCATCCCATATGGGCACTGGTTTGAGTTCCAGCTGCTCAACTTCCAAACCAGCTCTCTGCTATGGCCTGGGAAAGCAGTACCCATGTGGGAGACCTGGAAGAAACTCCTGGCTACTGGCTTCAGATTGGTGCAGCTCCAACCACTGCAGCCAATTGGGGAGTGAACCAGTGAATAGAAGACCTCTCTCTTTCTCTCTGCCTCTCTTTCTCTCACTGTGTAACTCTGACTTTCAAATAAATGAATAAATCTTTTTAGAAAAAATTAAAAATAAAAAACAGAAATACAGCTGGGAAATTCCAAAATAGTTAAAGAGATTAAACAAAAACCTTCTAAATGATGCGTGGGTTAAAATTTCTAAATAATGTATGGGCTAAACAGGAAAATAAGAAATTTAAAAATTTTCTAATTAAATGAAAATAAAAATAAAATTTACCCAAAATTGTAGAATCCAAGAAAGTTCTGGTTACAGGGAAAGCTATGGCACTGAATAAATATATTAGACAAGAAGAAAACTCTAAAATAAATTTTCTAAGCCTCTGCTCCAGGAAACTATGTAAACTAGACACAATCAACCATAAGAAATAGAGGTTATAAAATTTAAAGTAAGCAGAAAATATAATTAAATCACAGCAAATAATTAATGAAACTGGGAATAAGAATTGAAAAAAAAAAAAATAAACAAAGCCAAAAGATGGTTCTTTGAAAAAGCCTGCACTGTAGCACAGCAGGTTAACACCCTGGCCTGCAGTGCTGGCATCTCATATGGGCGCCAGTTCAAGGCCCGGCTGCTCCACTTCCCATCCAGCTCTCTGCTATGGCCTAGAAAACAGCAGAAGACAGCCCAAGTCCTTGGGCCCCTGCACCTATATGGGAGATCCAGAAGAAGCTCCTGGCTCCTGGCTTCGGATCAGCGCAGCTCCTGCCACCGCGGCCAATTGGGGAGTGAGCCATTGGATGGAAGACCTTCTCTCTCTGCCTTTCCTTCTCTGTGTAACTCTGACTTTCAAATAAATAAATAAATCTTAAAGAAAAAGAAAAAGAAAAAGAAAACAATAAAATCAATAAGCCTCTAGGCAGGCTAAGAAAAAAAGAAAGCAAACACAAATTACTTACTACAGATCCCATGGATAACCCACTGGAAAAGAACAAGTTCTTGAAAGACAAAATCTACCACAACTCACGTAATACTGAATAGGATCATATCCACTAAAGGAACTCAATAAACAGCTAATAACCTCCCCAAACAGAAAGTGCCAGGTCCTAATGGATTCAATGGTAAATTTCAATTTACCCAAGGAAGAAAGTATACCATTTCTGAAAATTCTCATCTAGAACACAAAAGTAGAAGTAATACTTCCTTACTCAATGAGGAGTGCATTGCCCTAAAGCCAAAATGAGACAAAATCTTTACAAGGAAATTATAGACCACTGTATGCATAAACATAGATGCTAAAATCCTCAACAAAATATTGGCAAATTAAATCTCAAGGTGTATAAAAATAATTATACAAGAAGATCAAGTGGGATTTTCCCAAGTATGTAAGGTTGGTTTAACATTTGAAAATCAGAAATGTACTCCATCACACCAAATAGCTAAAAAAGAAAAAATCACGTGATCATATCAGTAGATGCAGAAAAAGAATTTGACAAAACCCAACACCCGTTCATGATTAAAAACTCAGCAAACTAGGATAAGAAGGAAACTTCCTCAACTTAATGAACAGCTACAAAAAAACTTGTAGCTAACACTTTTAGTGGTGAGCTTTCCCACTACGATTAGGAATAGGCAGGGTGTTCCCTCTACTTCCTACTAATGCATTTGGGAAAGGAACAGAAGATGGCACAAGTCCTTAGGACCGTGCCACCAACGTGCGAAACCTACACGGAGTTCTAGGCTCCTGGCTTCAGCATCACCAAGCCCCAACTGTTGTGGCCACTTGGGGAGTGAACCAGTGGATGGAAGATCTGTCGACCTCTGACTCACTCTCTCCCTCTCCCCAACCCTCCTTTTCTCTTTGTACCTCTGCCTTAAAAATAAATAAAGAAATATAAAAAAAGACCCTTCCTCTTCCCCTTCCCCTTCCCTTCTCTTCTCTTTTCAACAGGCAGTGAGTTAGACAGTGAGAGAGAGAGAGAGACAGAGAGAAAGGTCTTCCTTCCGTTGGTTCACCAACTAAATGGCCGCTACAGCCGGCACGCTGCGCCAGGTGCCGATCTGAAGCCAGGAGCCAGGTGCTTCTTCCTGGTCTTCCATGCGGGTGCAGGGCCCAAGCACTTGGGCCATCCTCCACTGCCCTCCCGGGCCACAGCAGAGAGCTGGACTGGAAGAGGAGCAACTGAGACAGAATCCGGCGCCCCAACCAGGACTAGAACTCAGGGTGCCAGCGCCACAGGCGGAGGATTAGCCAAGTGAGCCGAGGCACCGGCCAAGACTCATCTTTTCAGTCCCTTACCTGCTTTCTCTGAATTTCCTACTTTGCAGAGAAAGATTTCCTTTCCTTCATTTCTATGACAACTGTGCCCATGCTCCTTCACAATTGTGCTCTTCTGCTAGTTTCTAAAATACCACTGTGTTCCCTTAGTTCTGGGCCCCATTTTCTTATTCTCAAACATTCTCTGTAACATCTGATCATGCCCAAGACTTCAACAACCACACAAAACTTAGAACAATGACACTAAAATCTCTTACTGTGGCTCAGACCTGACTGCACCCAGATGTCAGCCTCATGCTGCACCTCAACCAAACTGACAATGTGTAAGTTTAGCTCAGACTTATCTGCTTAAAAATCTGTTTCTTTAAAGATTTATTTATTTACTTGAGAGGCAGAGTTACAGAGAGAGAGAGAGGAAGAGAAAGGTCTTCCATCTGCTGGTTTACTCCCCAAATGGCCGCAATAGCCGGAGCTGAGCCTGGCAGATCCAAAGCCAGGAGCCAGGAGCTTCTTCTGGGTTTCCCACGCGGGTGCAGCAGCCTATCTACTGCATTCCCAGGCTATCACAGAGAGCTAGGTTGGAAGAGGAGCAGCAGGGACACAAACCCACACCCATATGGAATACCACCACTAGGCAGAGGCTCAGCCTACTACGCCCACAGCACTGGCCCCATTGAAAAGTATTCTTAATTCAGCAGGCTCTACCAAGGTCACCGATACTGTAAGCCAATCAACCATCATTATATGAAAATAGGTAATTATTCTTTCTCATCCCAATAAGTAACTCACTAAATCTGGCCCATTTTACTATGCATGGTGACACAGATATTCAATAAACACTCTTTTTCTCATCCTGGCCACCACTGTTTTAGAATTCAGATGTTCTTTTAACTCTAAGACTACTAAGAAATTTTTCTGACTGGCTTCCCTGTTTCCAATACCATCTGTATTAAATCCAGTTTCTGTCACCCAGTACAAACCAGAATACTGTGCATAGTGAAAGAAGATACTAGTAATAATTATATCAGTATAATAGGTATAAACTGGGACTGCCCTAAGCAAACCTGAGACAGATGAGCCCTTTAGTTCCAAGTCATTGCTATCACGTGACCCCTCCCTGCTTGCTTCTTCAGTCACAGTTCTTATCACTCTCTTTCTCTCATTTTACACTTCACCCACACAGAATAACTCAGAGTTCCAAATACATTGTTTTCCCTCAGTCCTGTGGGCATCTTTACATGTTATGCATTGTGCTTCAAACCCTAGTTCAACAGGTGCTCAGATGAGATAGCCCATCCTACAGGAAACCTGATCTGACCTCTGGAAGATGATTTTATATGTTCTTGTATTTTTTTAAAAGGTTTATTTATTTATTTATTTGAAAGGCAGAGTCACCGAGAAGCAGAGGGAGGGAGGGAGGGAGGGGGAGAGAGGGGGGGAGAGAGAGAGAGAGAGAGAGAGAAGTCTTCCATCTACTGGTTTATCCCCCTCCCCACTCATGGCCACAATGGCCAGAGCTGTGTTGTCAGGAGCCAGGAGCTTCTTCCAGGTCTCCCATGCCAGTGCAGGGGCCCAAGAATTTGAGCCACATTCTACTGATTTCACAGGCCATAGCAGAGAGCGGGATCAGAAGCAGAGCAGCCAGGACTAGAACCGGCACCCATATGGGACGCCAGCACTGCAGGTGGCGGGTTTACCCACTACGCCACAGCACTGGCCCCTATTTATTCTTGGTAGGAGTTCCCACAGCTCTTCATATCTAATCCATTTGGGCACCTCCACCAACATACAATTATCCATTGCTTCTCAGTGTTGCTCACTTTATTGTACATTCCTTGAAGATAAAGCACTTTATTCACATATTTTTTATTACTAGAGCCTAAATGGTACCTATCCATAGTGAACCTAAGTATCTTTTTTCCCCTAAACACCTTTTAAGGAAATGGATAAACATGTTCTTTGATACAAGTCCCTCTTTGTGGGCTTTTAGACCAATGAAGGTAGAAAATGCTCTTCACACTTTTGTGGAGCTGGTTTTTAACACATTAGATGTTTAATGTTTTGTTTAATGGGGTCATTTGTCAAGGTTGGACTCATTTACTAAATGCTCAGCAGAACCAAAGGATTTGGTCATAGAACAAAACAGCTGAAGGAAAAAAAATAGAATTAACATGATACAAATGGAAAGAAAAGGGACAGCAAGAAAGAAGGGAAGAATACATCCATAAGGCTTAATAAAAGTATAAGCCAGTCAGTCTTTCCAAGGTACCCATGTATACAGAAAAGAGACTTCTTCCTTCTTCAATTAACATTAAGAAAAAGAGTCTTTTATATTTTGACTTTTTTCATGAAGGCCTATTAACCATACATTGGTATTTTGGTATATAGCATTGTAAGTACAAACCACTCTTTGTTTTTTTGTTTGTTTGTTTGTTTTTTAAGGATCTGCAAACTACATTTATTGAGTATGTACTGGGCATACCATAAATAAGACAGGTAACATGGGGGCAGGTAAGAACTTGAAGAAATTAAATACACAGGCTAACTTTACCACTAATTCTAACTACTAGAGAAATACACACAAAATTTGTACAAGTTATTCTTCATAATGAAATTCTGATGCCTGTCAAAGGACAATAACCTACACATATACTAAAATAAAAATATTTTAAAAGTTGTGCTTAACATCATAGAATTTCCCTAAAATGGGTTGGTAAAATCTTATGCAGGATTGATCCTTAATGTACACATATTTCCCTTAGAGACTGTTTGAGTAGTACAAATACTTGGACTCCACTGCCAAGAATCTAGTCAACGACGACATACACTGTTCCTCTAAGAAACATCACAATTAAGTCCTTCTCTCCATCAAAGTCCACCTTATTTTTTAGCAAGTTCTCTTCAAAGCCATTTATATGTCTTTTGTTTGATCATCTTCCTCAAGCTTCCTGATTTCATTTTTGGACAATTTATAGTTTCATGACTTACTTTTAATCTCTCCTTCAGCTCTACAATTTCAAAGCTTGTTTTCTTCTTGGTAGCTTCTAATTTTTCTCTAGTTTTCACTTCAAGTTCTGCAAATTCTGTTTCATGTTTATAGACTCCTAATGTTAGCTGATGAGATATTAATAATTGTTGCATCATTGCTGCTGGGTTTTGAAATACCATTTCATCATAGAACTCTGAAATCACTGTTTTTTCCTAGCACTGCATTCGTGTCTGATTGAAATACTTTTTTTTGACAGGCAGAGTTAGAGAGAGAGAGAGAGAGAGAGAGAGAGAGAAAGATCTTCCTTTCCGTTGGTTCAACCCCAAATGGCTGTTGCAGCCGGCACACAGCGCTGATCCCGAGCCAGGAGCCAGGTGCTTCCTCCTGGTCTCCTGTGCAGGTGCAGGGCCCAAGCACTTGGGCCATCCTCCACTGCCTTCCCGGGCCACAGCAGACAGCTGGACTGGAAGATGAGCAACCGGGACAGAATCCGGCATCCCAACCGGGACTAGAACCTGGGGTGCAGCGTCACAGGCAGAGGATTAGCCTAGTGAGCTGGGGTACCGGTCTGATTGAAATAGTTTTAATAAGTGGTACAGGGTTACAGGTCTTTCATTAGGGTCAATAAAAAATATCTTGATGATTATTTCAAATTCACCCCATCTTGTTTTGGTAATTTCATACAGAGGCTTAGTAACAACTCTTAAAGGATTGCCATAGCTTTCGTGCAATTTAAACTGGATTTTCTTCACGTATGCCGACATATCCTCATTGCTATATGGCTTTACATATACCGTCCACTGATGTGTGTGTCCATCTTCTTCTCTTTCCAAAATATCAAGCAATATTAACCATAAACTACTGGTTCAACAATAGTTACTCCCTTTACTCTCCCGCCGGAGTCAGACCCAAATTCGGCCATTCTCTTGAACATACTGTCCCACAGAAGAAGCCGCCGTTGCCAGGGAAAGACACCGGGGCCGGCAGGGTCACCGCTCGCTCCCCTCAAAGCACCCCTCCTCCCGAGTGGGCACAGCTGGAGGGTTTCCGACTAAGAGAAGGCGAGTCCTGGCGCTTGAGGCGCTCGGCAGCCGCCAACCCTTTCAGGCAGACGCCGTCCCTGAAGGCCATTCAGCCCTGGCGCAGGAGGAGAGCCCACTCTTTGGTTCTACTAATTATACCATTAAAACTATCTAAGGAGCTTTGGAGTTTATCTAGGATAAAGACATTCTCGCCGGCGCCGCGGCTCACTAGGCTAATCCTCCGCCTAGCGGCGCCGGCACACCGGGTTCTAGTCCCGGTCGGGGCGCCGGATTCTGTCCCGGTTGCCCCTCTTCCAGGCCAGCCCTCTGCTGTGGCCCGGGAGTGCAGTGGAGGATGGCCCAGGTGCTTGGGCCCTGCACCCCATGGGAGACCAGGAAAAGCACCTGGCTCCTGGCTCCTGCCATCGGATCAGCGCGGTGCGCCGGCCGCATCGCGCTGGCCGCGGCGGCCATTGGAGGGTGAACCAACGGCAAAGGAAGACCTTTCTCTCTGTCTCTCTCTCTCTCACTGTCCACTCTGCCTGTCAAAAAAAAAAAAAAAAAAGTTAAAAAAAAATAATAAAAAAAAAAAAAAAAAAAAAAAAGACATTCTCATCTTGTATCCATGAGCCTTAGTGACATCTACTTCTGAGGTCAACTAAAGTGTTGGTCTGTCCAAGTTTTTAATAGACAAATGGAATTTACTTCTCAAGAATACAATTTTCATCAATAAATTAATAAAATAATGCTATTTTTATTTTACAAACTGACTTTATTTACTCAGGAATACACAGAATTTTAAATGCATAATTTTGCTTAACGTGCTATGGAATTAGGATGAACAAACTATGGAGAAGAAAAATGTACACATTGCAAATACTGTACACAAAAACTAGTTATTTTTTAATGACCTATGGTAAAAATTCCTTGTGTAAAGAAATATTTTATCATATTGTTTTTTAACCCTTTATCAGCTGTCTATCTCTACCTGCTGAGAAATGCTTTTCTCCTACATTTATCATGCTTATTTAATATTTAGGATTTTCTTGACATTCATTTTTACAACTTTCCCTTCTTAAATCAAATTTTTCAACTACAATTTGATTCTCCACTTCACTCAAATTCCTTCTAATTTTTTTAGCAATCCCTTTTCCATCTTTCCAGATAGTTTTATCTGACTTTAGAGACTGACTTAGAGAGCCCTCTACTGGTCTGATCCTGTGTCAAAAAAAACACTAGTTTTCAGAGATCTATTGTTTTACTTGTTTTGGCCAATATAGTAATTGTATAAATTAATTAAAATATTTATAGAGAATGGCAAAGTTATAAATTCAGTATTTCTATCAAGGATACTGTTATCAAAGCAAATTATAGTAGTTTATAGCATAAGAATACTATTTTCAAAAAACTGTACATGATTAAATTCAGTACTGTATCAGAGTCTTACTATCATGGAACAGGGGTCATAAATGAAACCATGCAATAACAAGTTACTCTGATATATCAGTAGCTAAAGTATTAAGAGTAAGCTGGAATCTATGTTAAAGGGCTCTGCCTCAGGTAAATTTGAAACTTATTTGCTCTCTCGTATTTCCTGATTTTAATACATCAATGCAAACACATTTGAAGACATAATGAAGGGAAAATTCCACCTAAAGGGATTTTTAAAAATCTAGGTATAAAGACTTTGATGAGGAACATTAAGAAAAATGTCCACAAAGGGAAATATCTATCATAAAAAAGTTATCTGGTAGGGCCAGCGCTGTGGCATGGTAGGTTAAGCATCCACCTGCAGTGCTGGCATCCCATATGGGCACCACTGCATGTCCTGGCTGCTCCATTTCTGATGCAACTCCCTGTTGATGGCCTGGAAAAGCAGTAGGAGGTGGCCCAAGTGCTTGGGCTCCTGTACCCACATAGGAGACCGGGAAGAAGCTCCTGGCTCCTGGCTTCAGATTGGCCCAGCTCTGTTGAGGCCAATGAAGAAGTGAATCAGAGGATGGAAGACCTCTCTCTATGTCTCCCTCTTTCTATCTATAACTCTGCCTCTCAAGTAAATAAATAAATCTGTTTAAAAAATTGCTATCTGGTCTAACTTATGATTCCCACCCTACTCCCAAAAAAAACTAACAGGTGGAGCTGGCATCCTGGCACATCAGATAAAGCACTGCTTGGGACACCAGCATTCCATAACGAGCATTGGTTCAAGTCCTAGCTGCTTTGCTTCTGATTCAGCTCCTCCCAGCTAATGTGCCTGGGACAGCCCTAATGCTGTGCCCCTGCCAGCCACATAGGATACTTGGATGGAGTTCAGGGCTACTGGTTTCAGGCTGCTCCCCCTCAACCCACTGCAGTCATCTGAGGTATGAAACAATGGATTAAGATCTCTCTCTTCTCACCCCACCAGCCCCCATCTTATCTGCTTTTAAAATAAATTTTGAAAATATGGCTTTCTTTTCCTTTGAAAATAAGGCAATTAGAAACTTTATACAGAAAAACATACAAGCACATTTTCAGAAACTTCTTAAAAAGGAGGGTTGTAAATAGGAAATGTAACCCTTCCAGTCATATAAATTATGTTAAAACCATCATGAACCCTGTTGTCTGTGTTCCCATTAGAATGCACTCTCTTTACAAGCAAAACCAATTTCACCCACTTTCTATCACTAGGTTCTAAAGATTGCTTTACCCATATGGAACACAAGTAAATTCAGAAGAAATGGAAAATTGTGCTTTCTGGTGTGATCGCTCCCTGTAAGAGCTATTCTTCACTTTTGTAACCTCAGAATTTAGCACAGATGCTTAGGAACTGTTTTTGCTGAATGGGCTCATTCATAAAGGTGGAAAATATTCAGAATGAATATTTTGGTAAAAAAATACATAAAATAAACAATGATATAATCAGATAATACGACAAATTTGGGAAATGCATTTTCCAATCAAATCATAAATAAGACTAATTTATATAAAAATAAATTATATAAATTTTAAATTATAAAAATATAATTAAAAATATTAGATATTTTCAGGACAAGAAATGTTAATGGGCCTTAAATATATAAAAAGCAGCTCAATATCAGTCAAAATAAATGAGGACACTTCAAAAAGTTTGTGAGAAAACAGAATTGAAGGCATGACTTTATTCTGATGTGAAAAGTATTTTTCATACCACATGAAAAATGCATATTATAAAAAAACTAAGAAAGGATTTCAAAAATCTACATACACCAAAATAAACTCATGTTTTAAACACTTTCCATGAACTCTTTGAAGTACCCTCATGCACATTAAACCCTTGGAGATAACTCCTCCTGCATTTTGTATAAATCTACCCAAAGGGAAAAATTCCCAAAGTTTGGTAACACACTTAGCATGGCTGGGAGTGAGCAGGTGGAAACGGGGAGTCTTATCTCTCACTGTCTAACTCTGCTTTGTCACAGTTGATCATAATGATAGGACTAAGAGCCAAAGGGATCACATAAACAAGACTAGTGTCTGCAAATATTAACTGATAGAATAAAAAAGGGAGAGAATGACCCAACATGGGAAGCGAGATACACAGCAGACTCATAGAATGGCAGATGTCCTAAACAGCACTCTGGCCTCAGAATCAGCCCTTAAGGCATGAGGATCCGGCTGAAGAGCCCATGAGAGTATTTCAGGCATGGAAAGCCAAAACACTCTGGCAAAAAAAACAAACAACAACAACAAAAAACACCTAAATGGAAGATCTCTGTGAGGGAGATCCCTGTGGAAAGAATAGGTCATCAAAGAAGGAGGTACCTTTCTCTGAAGGGAGGAGAGAACTTCCATTCTGACTATGAGCTTGCCTAAATATGATCAGAGTTGGTGAACTCAAAAGGCTTCCATAGCCTTGGCAACTCATGACAAGAGCCTAGGGTGATTACTGACTCCATAAACAAGAGTGTCAAATTGTTAAGTCAACAACAGGAGTCACTGTGCACTTACTCCTCATGTAGGAACTCTGTCCTTAATGTGCTGTACAGTGTGATATAATGCTATAACTAGTACTCAAACAGTATTTTTCACTTTGTGTTTCTATGTGGGTGCAAACTGTTGAAATCTTTACTTAATATATGCTAAACTTATCTTCTGTATATAAAGAGAATTGAAAATGAAAAAAAAAAAAAAAAAAAGAAAGGGGAGTCTTAGACATTTCTCTCCAGAACAGCAATTTGATACAATCAATATAAATTAGTCATATGACATCTAAAAATTTCATTTCTGGGAATTCACTTACACAAATAGTTATACCTGAGCAAAATAGTATTTATAAAAGGTTATTCTTGGGGCCAGCACTATGGCACAGTGGGTAAAGCTGCCGCCTGCAGTGCCAGCATCCCATGAGGGCGCTGGTTCAAGTCCCAGCTGCTCCACTTCGAATCCAGCTCTCTGCTATGGCCTGGGAAAGCAGTAGAAGATGGCCCAAGTCCTTGGGCCCCTGCATCCATATGGGAGACTTGGAAGAAGCTCCTGGCTCCTGGCTTCAGATCGGCACAGCTCTGGTCATTGTGGCCACTTGGGTAGTGAACCAGTGGATAGAAGACCTTTCTCTCTCTCTCTCTGCCTCTCTGTAACTCTGCCTTTCAAATAAATAAATAAATCTTTTTTAAAAAAAATGTTATTCTTCACAGCATTGTTAATAATAGCCAAACTAGAAACAATCTGAATTCTGATGAGGAAGCAGGTTGAATTTATGCTATCCCTATAAAATGGGAAGTCACAGACCTGTAAAAGAAAAGAGATGCTACCTATTTAGTGACATGTGAATAATCAATTAAAAATGCCCTAATATTATAAGTATATTAACCCACAACTTACAAATAATCACAAAATTCTCTGTAGTCTTACCTGCAAAGTAGCCACATAAGAATCATCACAATTTACATAATGTCCTAACATGGCATGTTGTGCCCGTAATTCATTATCCCTTATCCTCTCATGTAGGTGGGTAATTTGTTGCTTCTGCCTGTAAAACATAATTTAATATCACATTACAAAGAATACAGTTTTCTAGTAGATAGTTATAAGTAGAACTTCTGGTATTTCAAAATTTTACATAACAGTTTAAAAGTATTATCAATTGTAAAATCATAGAGAAATTTTTTACTTATAGGAACATGAGATATGTAGAACTACAGTTAAGAATATACTACAAAGTAATTCTGGCAATAATACAATTCAGTCTTCTTTATTCCATGAAGTCATGCTTTGTTTTCTTTTTGTTACCTAACATAATGTTTTAGCCTTAGTCTGAAATGTCATTACCTTGAAATCAATTCCATTCATCCAAATTCTCAACACTCTATGTATCAATAGAAGTTTTTGAGACTCTTCACTGTCAAGAGTAAAAAATATTTCATAAAGATTATCTAGCTCTATAATTGTTCTACACATGCATAATCTTTATAATCTCCCAAACTGTAGTCTACACATAAGCATTGGCAATGGTGGAGAACTCAATGAGAGATTTAGATCTTTGGGTAGCTCTGACATCTTACTCACTAACATAATGTCTTGTTGGAACCAGACACACAGTTTCAAATCTTTTTTCAGAAATTACTTGAAACAAGTAATTTAATTTAGTAAATGTGTAACCTTACATATTTTAAAACTGTTATATGTCAGGCATGATGCTAACATCTTTATCATCTTTAAAAATTCAACAGCAAGCCTCATAATTAAGATTATGAGAAAAGAAATCTTTTAAGAAATAATAACAGCAGTGTGGCTAAACAAATAGCTTGATGTTATTCAAAATTACCAACAAAGAAACTTTTTTAGCAAGCGAGGTTATGAGTTTCTGTCTGCATTAAAGAGCTTGTTCTACTTATTTTCATGTATAAAAAATCATTATTCTTTAAGGAAATTCACATAGAAACATGAAATAAGAAACAGGTACATTAGGGGAGAAGGTTGAACACTTTTCAAATAGCACTTAAAATACTTTAACGTTTTATAACAAAAAGGTCCTTTCCAGGTAATTAAGAACAGTGATCTGGGAGATGGACAAAAAATGAGGAGGGCCCTCCAACTGCTTCAGCCCAGTGCTAGGAGAGTTTTCAAGCTCCAGCTCAGAAACTGTGGTCTCCCTGAGTAGAAGAGAAAAGGCTGGGCATCTGGAGACACCAAGGCAATGACAGCGCATACAGTGCTTGGTCACTGCTGAGCACTCAGCTGAACACTAACTAATGCATTTATGAGCAAACTACTGAAGGTGTATGTGGATGGGGGGGGGGCAACAAAAAGTTTAGAAGGAACAGTGTCTGAGGCTCACATGGGCTTGGAATACTGCCCATTCCCAAACACCACAGTGAAAAACTTAATGATACAGGGCATTGGTTAGCAGTACTTTTCAACTACGGGCCATTTTGATTCCAGGGACATGTAGCAACATCCAGAGACTCTTGATTCTAACAACTGGAACAGGATGCTACTGGCATAGAGGCCAGAGATGCTAATAAATGTCTACAATAAACAGGGTGGCCCCTCTGTCTCCAACAAATAATTATCTGACACAAACAGCAAAGAGTACAGAGGCTGAAAAATCCTAGATTTATAACATGTGTCTTATCTCTGTAGTGGGGGAAAAATTAACCCTACAGTGAATATAGCTCTAGTGCCAGCTAACACAATTTAAAAGAACAAAACAAGAACAAAAACTGCTGCCTTGAACAAAGCCTAGGAATACAAAAATATGTAGTATCTAAAACTAGTTAAAAATCATAATGTCTGGCATCAAATTAAAAACTACTGAGATTGTAAAGAAGCAGGAAAATACAGCCCATTAAAAAAATCAATCAACTGAAACAGAACTGACACAGATGGTAGACATAAGACAAGTACACTAAATCAGTTATAAATGTACCCATATGTTCAAGAAGCTAGAAGTAAAAATGTGTTAACTAAAGGCATGGAAGGTAGAAATAATTCATTGAATGCAATTAACAGCAGATTAAGACAGTGAAGAAAAGACTAGTGAAATTGAAACACAGTGATGGAAACTAGCCAAAAAGATACACATGGAGAAAAAAAGATGAACAAGTGAAAAACAAAACAAAAAACTCAACAACAATGACCTGTAGGACTATCCTAAGAGGTCAAACAAATGTATAACTGGAGTCCTCAGAGAGGAGGTAAAAAAAGGGGAGGAGCATGCAGAAAAAAAAAAAAAAAACTATAGATAATGAGCCAGAATTTTTCCAAATTTGGTAAGAACTGTATACCCACAATTCAAGAAGCCCTGTGGAATTGCAAATAAAAACCACAATGAGGTTTCACCTCACCTGAGTTAGAATGGCTCTTACACAGAAATCCAAAAACAATTAAATGCTGGTGAGAATGTGGGGGAAAAGGTACCCTAATCTGCTGTTGGTGGGAATGCAAATTAGTTCAGACATTGTGGAAGACAGATCTACCATATGACCCAGCCATCCCACTCCTGGGGACTTACCCAAATGAAATCATATCAGCATATGAAAGAGTTATCTGTACTACATGTTTATTGCCATTCAATTTACAACAGATAAACTATGGAATCAAAACAAATATCCATCAACTGAAGACTGGATAAGTAAACTGTGGTCTATGTGGGAGACCTGGAAGAAGTTCTTGGCTCCGGCTTCCGATCCCTCAGTTCTGGCTGTTGCAGCCATTTGGGAAGTGAACCAGCAGATAGATGGAAGACCTCTTTCTCTCTGTCTCTACCTCCCTCTGTAACTCTTTCAAATAAATAAAATAAATCTTAAAAAAAAATTGGTGGTATAGATACAAATACAGATATAGATACATAGAATGGAATACTACTCAGCCATAAAAAAACAATGAAATCCTGTCTTTTCCAACAAAATGGATGCAACTGCAAACCACTACACTTAGTGAAATAAACCAGTCCCAAAAAGAAAAATAGCATGTGCTTTCCCTGATCTGTTGTAAATAATAGAGTACCAAAAGTTGTAATGCATAAGAGTTGCATGCATATTTCGCAATCTGATGATTGCTCACAGCCCTTGTCTCCACTGCTGAGGAACAGTATGTTTTTTTCTTCACACTATTTATTGAACTCTTTACTTAGTATAGGATTGATCTTGTGAGAATAAAATAAAAATTCCTAAAATTTAGCAAACTCAATCCAAAGATAAAAAAAGAAAATTAATAAAAAAAAAGAAAAGAAATAAAAAAAGAAAAACAACAAAATGGGATCTATCCTACAAACTGCAAAATAAGTTTTACATTTGAAAATTCATCAGCTGCCTAGGAATGAAAGGAATCTCTACAACTTAAAAAGGCATCTAGAAAAATCTACAACTTTATCCTAAATAAGCCATGAATATAAACAACAATTAGCACTGGTTAAAAAAAAAGTACCCTTGACTTTTTTCCCAATTACCATGATACACAACACATTTAATTATCCCTAGAAGATAATATAATTAAGTAACATTACGGTTTCAGGAGAAGGGGCTGGCTTTGTAGCATAATGGGTTAAGTCACTGCCTATGTTACCAGCATCCCACATGGGTGCCAGTTCAAGTACAAGTTGCTCCACTTCCATTCCACCTCCTTGCTAATGTGCCTGGGAAAGCAGAGGAAGATGGCCCAAATCCTTGGGCCCCTGAAAACACACATGAGACCCAGATAAAGCTCTGGGCTCCTGGCTTTAGCTTGGCTCAGCCCCAGCTGTTATGGCCATTTTGGGAGCAAACTGGCAGGTAGAAGACCTCTCTCTATCTCTTTCTCTCTGTAACTCTGCCTTTAAAATAAATAAAATAAATCTAAAAAAGTTTCAGGAGATTGTTATATACAAATGAATCTCTTTTACAGAGCTTTAGTATTCAAACATTTAACAATTTTGAAATGTCTAAAAAAACTTACATAATTTTTATCTGTAAGTTATTTAATTTAAAAAAAAAGTTTTATTTATTCCTTTTTAATTATTTGAAAGGCAGAGCAACAGAAACAGAGAGACAAAGAGAGAGATCTTTCACCTGCTGGTTCATTCTCCAAATGCCTTCAATAGCTGGGGCTGAGCCAGGCTGAAGACAGGAGCCCAGAAATTCCACCTGGGTCTCCCACATGGTTGGCAGGGATCCAGGTACTAGGGCCTGCCTCCCAGGGTGCACATTAGCAGAAAGCTGGATTGGAAGCAGAGCAAGGACTTGAACTCAGGCACTCCAATATGAGTTGTGGGTACCCAAAGCAACATCTTAACTGCTGTGCCACAATATCTACCCTCCTTACATCACTTAATTTTAAACATTAATCATAAATACAGTTAATATGGTATCAGACCTGACACACAATAGTTAGAGAAAATATTACTTGAAAGTTGCTTTCCATTTACTATTTCCTAACTGTAGCTCGGGGAAAAAAGACATTATCTTTTAATCCTGATAGTTCATTAACATTGTAGCTAACCTGCTACCTGAAGCAGAAGACAGAGAAATTTCTAGTAAGGAGTCACACTGAAGTGACTGAGGAAGATCACAGGAATTAGGCAAACTGGACCAATCCTCAGTCCTTGAAAGGACAAAGCTGGGAAGGGACAGACACACGGCATCCACACATTTGTAAGATTCTAGTTCTTCTGTTTTTCATTTTGAAAGGCAGGGCAACAGAGATACTTAAAGAGACAGACCTCCTCCATCTGCTAGTTTCACTGCCCAAATGTCCACAACAGCTGAGGCTGGGCTACTCTGAAGACAGGAGCCAGAACTCAATTTGGGTTTTCCCATGGGTGGCAGGGACCCAGGGAACTTGATACCTGCTACCTCCCAAGTGTGCACATTAGCAGGAAGCTGGACCAGATGCAAAGCAAGGACCAAAACCTAGCACTCTGATAACGGGACTCCAGTAACTTAACCACTGAGCTAAACACCTGCCTGAGATTCCAGTTCTACTCCAAGCAGAGAATACAAAGGTATTTGTTTCTTTAATTTGTTACATTAATCTACATTTCCATATGACTGAAATATTTAGTAATTAAAAAAAAAGACTCACCGATCAATTACAATTTCTTTTTGCCTTAGAAGTCCTTCTTTTATTTTCAGCACTGATTCCCACTTACTGAAATCTTGATAGGCAGGTGAGTAACTCTGATGAGATGATCCAGTCAAAACCTGCATAAACATATTTACACTATTAGTATACTAAATGTGTTTTTCAGGATATTTATATACTAGTATTTTCTCAATCATTAAAAAATAGAAAAATACATCTTTGACGGTTTTTAAGACCACCTGAAACACACTTGCAAAGGCTAGCATAACATGGAGAATTTCAAGGAAGTCCAAAAGTAAATGTTAAGGAGGAACTGATGACAATAGGACATAAAACCTGGCTAATTATACTATTATATAAAAGCTCATACTTCTGTGGAAATGAGAGCTTTCTGGATATAAATGATTAATCCTGGCCTACGGAAAGTGAATATAAAGGAATGCAACACGGCTCAACTAGCCGAACATTACCAGAAGGGTTTCTGTAAGGAAATAAAAGTAGCTTCTGTAGTACACAGGTCAAATTTTCATGTAGCACATCATTTAATTAAAATTTCAAAATCACAAAATTTTTACAAATAAATGTGTCCACAGAAATATGATAATTTCAATGATTACTGTTCTCCAGTGTGAATAAAATAATTTAGAAAAACTCTGCTTGGAATTTAACAAAAGTTTCAAATATTCACAATACACTCACAACAATGAAAATCAATATGGTAAATATCCTCAAATTTCAACCACCAAAACAACACTTTTTAATTTTAGTATCAAAGGTTCAGCTGTGTTCCACAAAAAGAAATGTTGAAATCCTAACCTCGAATATCTCAGAGTGACATCATTTAGAAACAGGGCCTCTGCAGATGCAGTCAAGGTAAAATCAGGTTGTTAGGATGAGCTCTAATCCAAAGTGACGAGCGTCCTAACAGAAAAGTGAACTTTGGATCTATACACAGAAGGAAGACTATGTGATGAGATACAGGGGGAATATCATGTGAAGATCAAAGCAGATACCAGAGTGATGCAAATAAATCCCAAGGAATAACAAGACTGCCCGCAAAACACCAGAAGCTAAAGGGAGGCCTAGTTTAAAGTAATATATGCACCTTAGAACAGATGCAGAAATTCAATTTAAAATAATATCACTAACATTTTGCATCACTGATTTTTAACACACTTTTAAATAAAAAAATGAGTTGAAGTAAATGAAAATGAAAACACCAAAACTCAAGAGAAGAGAGTAAAAGTACTATTACCTGCTGATTCACTCTCCAAATGCCCACAACAGCCAGAACCCAGATGGGATCCAGGAACACAATCCAGTCTCCCACGTGGGTGCCAAAGACCCAATTATTTCAGCCATCACCACTGCCTTCCAGGGTCTTAAGTTCTTATCTTTAGAAAACTAGGAAATATACCCAATGAATGTAGATAAAAGAAAATAAGGCTAAGCACAAAAATTAATAAAGTTTAAAAGAAAAACAGACAAAAGTCATGTTAAAAAAGCTAGTTATTTGGAAAGATCAATAAAATTGACAAACCTCTGGCTAGACTAAGAAAGAAAAAAGGAGGAGGATGCAAACTCACATCAAGAATGAAAGAGGCTGGCGCCGCGGCTCAATAGGCTAATCCTCCACCTTGCGGTGCTGGCACACCGGGTTCTAGTCCCGGTCGGGGCGCCGGATTCTGTCCCGGTTGCCCCTCTTCCAGGCCAGCTCTCTGATATGGCCAGGGAGTGCAGTGGAGGATGGCCCAAGTACTTTGGCCCTGCAACCCATAGGAGACCAGGATAAGTACCTGGCTCCTGCCATCGGATCAGCGCGGTGTGCTGGCCACAGCGCGCCAGTCGCGGCGGCCATTGGAGGGTGAACCAACGGCAAAAGGAAGACCTTTCTCTCTGTCTCTCTCTCTCACTGTCCACTCTGCCTGTCAAAAAAATAAATAAATAAATAAATAAAATAAAATAAAATAAAATAAAATAAAAAAATAAAAAAAGAAAGAAAGAGAAGGTTCAGGGTGTCAGATTAATTAGAAGGACAATTAACAGAGTTACTAGGAACAATTCTGCAAACATAAATTCAACAACTTGCAATGAAATGGAGAAACTTCTCAAAAAACATAAATACCAAAATTTAAAACTCATCTAATACAAAAGGATAATCTGAATAGTCCTATAAAGTATTAGAACAACTGCATTTGTTTAAAACAAAACTTTCTAAAAAGTAATCTTAAGGCCCAAATGGTTTCACTGTGGAATTCTACTCAATGTTTACAAACCTATTCTTCACAGACTCAGAAAAGTGAAAATTTCCCAATTCATTTTATGAGATCAATACTGCTCTGATATTAAAGATGGACAAAACAGGAAAATAGAAAACTTGACAAATATTCCTCATGAACAGATTGTTAAAATTAAAAAAAAACTTTTATCTAATCCAGATAAAGAAATATATGCATTAGGTTCATCCCAGAAACGCAAACTGACCACATAAATACTCTAATTAAAACACTATTAGAGGGCTTGTGCTGTGGCGCAGTAGGTTAATCCACTGCCTGCAGCACCGGCATCCCATATGGGCGCCGGTTCTAGTCCCAGCTGCTTCTCTTCCCATCCAGCTCTCTGCTATGGCCTGGGAAAGCAGTAGAAGAAGTCCTTGGGCCCCTGAACCCACGTGGGAGACCCAGAAGAAGCTCTTGGCTCCTGGCTTCGGATTGGCGCAGCTCTAGCTGTTGCGGCCATCTGGGGAGTGAACCAACGCATGGAAGACCTTTCTCTCTGTCTCGCCCTCTCACTATCTGTAACTCTACCACTCAAATAAATAAAAAAACTTTTAAAAAATTAAAAAAAAACACTATTAGAACTATAAGTAATTTTAGTACTATTACATGATTCAAGGTCATTATTTTAAAAATCAAACAAACTTCTACATACTAACAAAAGTTCATAATCAAAAATGTTATTTACATCAAAAAATACTTAAAAATAAAAAATTTAACCAATTACGTGGAGGATCTGTACACTGAAAACTATGAGTAAAGCATCACTAAGAAATTATAGAAAACCTTTAAAAGGAGAAATGTACTTAAGTATTGTTAAGATATCAATTGTCCCTATATTGATTTATGAAGTAAATTAATCCCTACTGGGACCGACACTGTGGAGCAGTAGGTTAATCCTTTGCTTGCTGCGCTGGCATCCCATATGGGAGCTGATTCTAGTTCTGGCTGCTCCTCTTCCAAACTAGCTCTCTGCTATGGCCTGGGAAAACAGTAGAGGATAGCCCATATGCTTGGGCCCCTGCACGCACGTAGGATATCCAGAAGAAGCTCCTGGCTCCTGGCCTCCGATTGGTGCAGCTACAGTGGAGGTGGCCATTTGGGGAGCAAACCAACAGAAGGAGGACCTTTCTTTTCTCTCTTGTCTCCTCTCCTTTTCACTGTCTGCAAATCTACCTCTTAAATAAATAAATAAAATCTTTAAAAAAAAAATTAGTCCCTATTAATATCCCAGATTTTTTTTCAAAGTTGGCAAGTCAACCTTAAACTTTCTATGAAAATGTAAACAATTTACACTACCTGAATTCCAGACTAATTATACCAAGTATTCCTAACAGCGTGCTCTTGACATTAAAGACAGACAGACGGAGACTGGTGTTGTGGCATAGCAAGTAAAGCCGCTGCATGCGGTGCTGGAGTATAACATGGGGTGCCATTTTGCTCCACTTCTAATCTTGCTCCTGGCAAAGGCACTTGGGAAAGCAGCGGAAGATGGACCAAGTCCTTGGGCACCCATGTGGGAGACCCAGAAGAAGCTCTTGGCTCCTGGCTTCAGATAGGCTCAGCACAGCAAAGGAAATAATCAAGAGTGAAGAAACTACCTATATAATGGGAGAAAATATCTGCCAACAATTCATTCAACACGGATTAACATTCAGAATTTATAAAGAATGCAAACAACTGAACAGAAAATATCCACAAATAATCCTATTTTTAAAATGGGCAAACGACTTGAATAGACATTTCTTACGAAATGATTCACAAATGGTCAATGAATATGTGAAACAATGCTCAACATCATTAGTCATCAGGGAAGTACAAGTGTAAACCACCAGGCATCCAAGTATACACAGGTTTCAAACATTTTTATACCAAAATAAACTTTTAATTCCATTTTTCCAGTTATTGTAAAAACAGTATGTAGATCCCCCCCAAAACAGTGAGGGGAAAAAACCACTATATATATATATATCAATCCCACTACTGAGGGAATATCCAAGGGAATTAAAATCAATCTGTCAAAGACACACTCACATGTTTTCTGCAGCACTACTGCTCCCAATAAAAGGAATGATAAATGTTTGAGATGATAGGTATGTCAATTACCCTGGCCCGATCATTATACATTATACCCTTCATATATTGAAATGTCACATTGTGTCCACTAAATATATATAATCATAATGTGTGGATCAAAAGTAGAAGAACATGTCAAAAGATAATCCTACTTAATTGAGTATTTTTTGCAAAAAAAAAAAAAACGCAATAAAATTGATTTTCTGAAGATAATTCCAGATAAATGTTAACATATATTCGACAATACTAGAATCAAAATGAACTTGCTATAATAAATTTGAAAGAACCCTAATGTGTGTCAACAAAGGAGCTGATAATTAATTACAGTAAATGTATACAACAGAATACTAGATGACAATAAAATAAAACTATTACACTAAACAATATGGATGAAATTTAGACATTATGCTAAGAATTGCAACATAGAACCATACATACTCAATGATGATAAAAATCAGAAGAGTGAAAATGGGCAGGATGTAGTCTATCAATATATAGACAGAGAAGTCATGAATGAAACCTACTGGGCTTAGGAACTCTATATTTTAATCTAAATGATTGTTAAAAGGGTACATATATTTCTTAAATACAATGGAACTATTATTATATTTAAGATTAACACAGTTACGCAATTCAGGGATGTTAGATCTCAATAAAAACAAAATAGATAATACTACACCTTATTTCACTCTCTATATTAAATCAGAACTAAGGGGAAATGAAGGCCCTATCTAATACAGAATGCTTACGTACACCAAGGTGCATGG